TATATATATATATATATATATATATATATATATATATATATATATATATATATATATATATATATATATATATATAATATTTAAAATGACTTGAAATGTTATAGTTTGTCATTTTTTTAGGTGACCAACAGGGTGTCCGCAGTCTAAAAATGCAGTCAAATTAAATGTAGGGCTTAAAAAGTCTTAAATTCACTGAAATACGGTGTTGTATGTCTTAAATACTTTTTAAACTGGGTTCATGTACAGTAAAACTACCCAATCAGTACTACCAATAATCCATCTGAAAAAAACTTTAACAAAAGTAAAATTGATTAACTCTATAGACCCTTTTTACATTTCCGGGTTTCTCAGTAGTTGGGATAGTTGGGAAAACAAGCGCAGTAAATCAGATAGTACTACAATTTATTTCTTAGAATCTTATTTGTTCGATTAATAAAAGAAAAACTCCACAATAGAATTATAAAGACCTTCTGTAAAAAAAAAGAAAATTGTGTGAGACTGATAACGGCAAACAGAAGAGAGAAAAATGTTTAATTTACTGTCCTGCCCCATAAAACCACGTTGCCTTATTATATCCCATAACTGTTCAGATCTTGTTCTATTCTTGAATCAGAAAGTACAATTTTTTTACAATCTTATTTGCTCAAATAATAAAAAAAAAAAACCTCCATGATAGTGTTTTCAAGAATTTCAGAAAAAGATAAAAAAATAAAAAATTGTGAGACTGATAACGGCAAACAGAAGAGAGAAAAATGTCTAAAAAAATGAGTGAGAAAAATGTCTTGCATGTTGATAACAACCAAAGTAACACGTATATGAAAATAATAAAAATCAAATTACTTTACAAATAAAGTTAAGCTTAATAAATTGAAATGATACAGTGAACAAGAATTGAACACGTGAAGAAAGGGAGGTGCAAAAAGGCAGTGAAAGTCCAGATTGCAGCTGAAATCTCTCAGTAGTTCTTCAGCAACCCTCTGCCCTTTGCCGTTATAAATAAATATTCACTGCTTCAGTTCAACTTATACATTATCAGAATGATGAAGATGAAACCAGGATGGACATTTCAGCAAGACAATGATCCAAAACACGGCCAAGGAAACTCTCAAATTCTTTCAGAGAAAGAAAATCAAGCTGTGGAATGGCCCAACCGATCACCTGACTTGAATCCAATAGAAAATACAAAATTGAGCTCAGATTTGACAGACAAGACCCAAAGGACCATCAAGATTTTTACACTCTGTTGAAGTCTTTGAAAAACTAAAAAGTAATACTATAAAGTATTAAATACATTTAAGTTGTTCAACATTTTCTCCTTGTGTCATTTCATTATTACACATAACATTTTTTACTGAATTTGTTTTTTTTAGTTATATTTTTGTGTTTGCATTGTTTGGGTTTTTCCCCTAAATCTGGTTTAATTCCATGTCAACAGCTCCTTTAGAAATATTATTTCCAGTAAAAAGCGTGACATGATAAATACTTTTTCCCTCACTGTATATTGCTGCAGTTGACTGATAAAATGTGTTTCTGTAGGACCCGAAGCAGAATGGAGAATGGCAGACATACTTCAGAAACCTTCCCAAAGCTCTTTCTTCTCTGCTAGTGCTGCTCACCACAGCTAATAACCCTGATGGTAAGTTTTCAGTTTCTCAGGAGGTGTAAATCTCTGAATGACTCAGTAAAGCTTTAGGTAGTCAGTGACACAAGATGACATTTTACCAGCGCTGTGTCAAATTCTCCGTCACTTCTGGCTCATTGCTGTAGAAGCTATGAGTCATTTAACCACATGACTTAAGGTCTTGTGACTTGTCACAATTTTTTGTTAAACTTTTACAGGTACCTGTATGTGTTTTAAATGTGAAACTACACCAGTGCTATAACTTTGTTTTGATCACTTTTTTTTTCCTCTCAACAGTCATGATTCCAGCATACTCTCTAAACCGAGGCTATTCTATATTTTTCATACTCTTTAGTGTGTTTGGTAAGTTGCATGGTGTTCAGGTCATTGTCACTGTATACACAACATGCCAAAAGATTGGAATAATTTATTATTATTTTATTTTATTTTTTTGCATTTATTTGATTTTCAAATATTGAATATAGTAGTCAACATTTAAAGCGGATTAAAAAAAGATTGAAAATTGTCCTAAGACAAGAATGGGTGTTTTCAATAGTTTTAGGCTATTTTCATTAACCTATTTTGATCCACTTCAAATGTTGACTATTTAATTTTAATAAATTTTTTAAAACATTTTTTCTTTTCTTCTCTTTTTAAATTTTATTTAATTTTAATTTACTTTATTTAATTAAATTTTTAATTAACTTATTTTTTTGTTTTTTTATTTATTATATTTTTTATTATATTCATTTATTTTTTTGTATTTAAATTTTTTTTACAGTTTTAAAATTTAATCTTTATTTTTAATTTAATTTAGTTTGATTTAAAATTTTAATTCATATTTGTATTTGTTTTCTATTTATTTTTTATAATTTAAGAATGTAAATTTTTTTTTTTTAAATATACTTTTTTTTTTTTTTTTCGTTGGCGACCCCTGATAAACCAGGGATGGAGGAAAATGAATTTTATTATGGTACAATATTATTGTAAAATATTTGTACAATTAAAAAGTGCCGTTTAAAATAATTTTTAATTTCTGTGTCATTATTACAGCCTTCATTGTCACATGATTCTTTAAAAATCATTCTAATGAGCTGATTTTGGTGCTCTTTTATCAATTATTGTTGTTGATATAATTAATTATAGTACATACAGTAGATGCTTTAACTCTTTTTTTGCTGCTTCATATTTTTATGTAAACTATGATATATTTTTCAAGACTGTTTGATGTCTAAAGATTTAAGAAAAAAGACAACAACAACAACTAAAACAGCTATTTTTATTTCTTATATTGAAGTTGTGTTATATACAGAGAAATCAGTTATAAAACAAATGCATGTCCTGTCACTTTTATTTAACCCATCATTGCTAATTAAAATCCTTTTGTTCTTTTTACAACGTTTTAAATGTGGAATGCAGTAATATTATTTATATTCATAACAGTGCATTAACACTGAAATTGTTTTTCTTTTCCTATCAGGAACATATTTGTTGATGAATCTAATGACAGCTATTATTTATAACCAGTTCAGGGGATATTTACTGGTGAGTGATGCACTTCATCATCTGACCTACCACAGAATTTATTTTCAGCATACTTTTCAGGTCTTCCCTTTTCCATACAATAAAATTGACTACACTAAATAAATATAAATAAATGCACAAAACCTTTTAAAATCCTTTTTTTTTTTTTTTTTTTTTTTACAAAAAGTTTACAAACATTTACAAAAAAAAATAATTGTAGACTTTGTAGTCTATTTTTTTAGAAATGTCTCTTGATTTGCAGCCATACTTTTAAATCGATATATTGTTTGTGTTTATTTTGGGAGATAAGAATGGTATAAAGATTTTAACAAAAATGCCAAGATATGAATAAAATATTTAAATGCAATAAAAAATGTATGCACTAAACTTATGTTAAAAACATTTGATAAGAACACAAACGAATAAACTATAGTCAGGAAACACATTTATAGAATACAGTCCTTGATGTGCCCAAAAAATAAAACAAATACTGGACTGGATAGCTGGACTATCAATCTCAATGCATAGAATCTAATCTCAGATGCTCGTACTTCAGATGTTCTCAAATACCTGAATCAATGTCTGTCATGAAAATGTAGGTAAAAAGGATGGAATGTTCCCCTCATTCCCAGGAGGTGGTGCTTTGGTTCTTTTGAACTCATGGCATGGAAATGGTGCTCCATTTGCCTAACATTTGTCAGTATATAAGTACAAAACTTTGATTGGAATCACGATTAACTTTGTATTATATTCAATTCTATGACAATTATGTGTGTAAACCACTACTGAGCGCATAACTTCAATAGTATAGTGTCTGTCAAGCTCCAGAAATACCAAAAAGACCCTTAAAAGTGTACTGTATGAATTATATTTTAATTGGGACCTTATATGCCCCTTTTTTCAAGATGTAAAATAAGTCTCTGATGTTTCTAGATGGCATATGTGAAGTTTCATCCTATAATACCTAACAAATATTTGTTTATAACTCTATGAAACTTAATGCCCTTTTTAGGCATTGATCGAAATTGTGACGTTTTGGTGACTGTCGCTTTAAATTCAAATGAGATTGTGCTTCTTTCAAAAGAGGGTGGAGCTATAAATGCTTATGTGTCTGCATAGTGGCAGGTTCAAATCAGGACTAATGTTATCTTCGTGATTAACTAATCGTCACTAATGGGCGGGGCTTTCCCACTCTGATGACACGTACATAGGGAGAATGTCAATCGAAGTGTTTCTCCAAGACATTTTTATCACTGGATGCTGGCTATATTTACACACTGTTGCCACACAACTGTGTTAAAACGCCTTTTAAACGTGATCTTTTTACAAAATAGGTTTTCTTTAAGTAATCTTAAGTAGTCGTTAACCATTGTGTAATTTTGTAAAACCATTGAGGATTTTGTGTAAACCTGCTTTCATAACGGGTTGTTTTATCTATGTGTTCAGATGTCAGTTCAGACGTCTATCATCAGGAGGCGTCTGGGTATCCGGGCTGCGTTTGAGGTGCTCTGCTGTCCAGGCCGAGGTCACACCAGCACTCAGGCTGAAGGCCACGTGTAAGAGCAGCTCCTCTTCTACATATTAGACTTACTTCACTGGCAAACCATTGGATCAAAAGCCTAAACAAATTAATTTATTACAGTTTTACATTTTTTTTGTGTGTGTGTTTTCTTTTTTTTTTACATTTATATTTATTTATTTAATAGAACATTTTATCCAAAAAAATCTTTAAAAGAAGGGAAGTCTTAGTTGGGTTAGCATGGCATTTACAGTACTGTGCAAAAGTTTTAGGCCAACATTAAATCTGTTGTGTTACTGATGGTATAATGCAGGGGTGTCAAACTCAATTTCTGGAGGGCCGAAGCCGTGCACAGTTTAGTTCCAACCCTGCTCCAACACACTTACCTGTAGGTTTCAAACAAGCCTGAAGGACTCAATTAGTTTGGTCAGGTGCGTTTAATTAGGGTTGGAACTAAACTGTGCAGAGCTGCGGCCCTTTTGAAACTGAGTTTGACACCTGTGGTATAATGGATATATGTGACCCTTTACCACAAAAGCAGTCATAAAAGTATTTGTTTATTTATTTAAACTAAGATTGATACCGGGTGAATAAATATATATATATATATATATATATATATATATATATATATATATATATATATATATATATATATATATATATATATAAAAAATAAAAATATATATATATATATATATAAATCA